ATATATAATTTTTTAGTTTATCTAGTGTGTTTTTAAATCTCTTTAAATCCTCACTCTATTAACTTTTATTTTCATTTTAATTTTAATTTATTTGATTTTTTATTTTTTTTATAAATAATTGATTTAGACCAATTTATACCTAATCTAGATCACCATTCTAATAATCCGATATAGATCAGTGTGTGAAGAAATTGCCACACCGATCCCGATTTTTAAACATTGCTCCAACATATAGCCATGTGATGTGAAAGCAAAATTAGTCATTTAAAATTTAAAAGGAAAAAGTTTTTATAAGTTGCAACCTTATAATGTAGAACTGCGGATGCACCTAAAAAATCCATCGGAAAAGGTTGTTTTAATGTTGAAAAAAGATTGATCATCTTGACATTGAGATATATGACTATGAAAATTAAAAAGATTTTGAGTATCATAAATAGTGCATCTTACAAAATATTGTCTACACCACCCATTTTCAAGATTTCCATATGGTCATAGATTTACTTGATTTTAACTATTTTTAACATTTAAAAATTTATAATTAGATATAAAAATAAATTTTAAGATAGTCTCAATAATATTTTACATCAAAATTATATATTATAATAAAATTTGAAGGTACACCGTAGTGGGATTGTTTACGATTGCAACCATATGGAAGCCACACCCAAACAAAAATTGTGCTAGATACCTAAAATAGGCTTAAAATATTACTAAGGCACGTGAACAACAATTTACCACCAATTGACGGTTAACATTTACATGATAGTAATGGATAGTGATTTTTAATATTTTAATTCAGTCATGTATTAAAAACTACTGTAAAGTTTTATAGTTTCAGCATGGATAATAAAGTAGTCATATTCAGCACTTTGACTTAAAATGGATAATAATTTTTGAGAAATTTACCAAAAAATCATATTTTATTATAAAACTTTTAAATAGCCTTATAAATTTGGCATTTTACATTCAAGTCCCAATAGTTTTAATTTTATTTTCTCTCCTATACATTAGATTAACCTTAAGTTTGGGGATTTGATATTTATCATCATCTCACACGCATAAAAAATATGCAACAAATATTTTAAAATATAATAATCAAAATACCATTGGATTTTTAAAATTTATAAGTGTATTTTGGTTTTTTTATTTAATTGAATCATTTTTTAAAAGATTTATACAATTGCATAATAGCAAGAAGTATATACAATTGCGTAATGGCAAGAAGTATATACAATTGCATAATGGCAAGAAGTATAGATGTACAAAATTTAAGCTAATTCAGATGCATACAACAAAAAAAACTAAATTATAATATTCACTGAAAAGTGGGACTTAAGCTTTTCAGGATCTATCGAGGAGTTAGTAGATAACTATTTTCAAGTGAAAAATAATTATTGAATTATTCATCACTTTTGTTTTGCCTTCCAAAAATTGGGCAGTCTCTTGCCCATTTTTGGGACATTATACTAGGAAAAAAAAAGTTCTAATAAGGTGTCAATTTTATACTAATGAAGCTACACGCAGTTCAAAACCCATCGAAAAAAAGTTGTTCTAATGCTGGAAAACTCTAACTTGATCATGCGAACCTCAAGATGTATGTACTAGAAGAAAATAAAAAAAGTATTTCAAGTCATGAAAGTAGTACATATTGTGACATAATTATCTGGATTGAGTGTTTTAAAAATTTTAGTTGTTTATAGGTATGCTTGATCTACACTATTTTTAGATCTTTAAATTTCATAATTAGGGCGAATATAGTTTTTTTTTTTTTATGTTGTCACAATGCTTTTTGGCACGAAAATTATATATTTCAGTCCGTGTTCGTAAAATCGAACTAGAACGGTTAACCGGACATAGGCCTGGAAGTGGTTTTACCGGCATAACTGGTAAACCGGCCGATTCAACTGCTCTAACCTGGAAACTCTCGAACAGTAAAAAAATTATTGAAAAAAATAAAAAAGATACAAAAAATATCTACTAAAATATGAAAAACATATAAAGAATGATTAAAACAAAACACATTCAAATGAAATTGAAAATCAATGAAAGAAATAGATTTTAACGAATTGATTTGTGCCTAGAGATATTTTTAAAATTTTTTGAAAAGATAGAAAAATATAAAAGTGAGTATTAATGACCAATACAATTTTTAATCTTTACCATAATGTAAAGAATATTAAAAAATACATTACAAATCAAATTCCCAATTTTTTAAATTTATATGCATTTTTTTGATTTTTTTTTAAATACTGGTTGATCAAAAAAATCACCCAAAATCAAAACCGGTTAGTTACCATTCCCGATCTAACTGGACAGTTAGCGATCAGATCGTTTGGTTTTACAAACACTGATTCAAGTATTGTTTTGAGGTGAACCATATATTGATTGTAAAGTTGATATTGATACCTCATACAAACCTCACCTTTATATTATATAGAAACCACAAAAATTACAATTTACTTCTCCGCGTTTCTTTTTGGATTTAATTCTAATTAATTAAATTTATAATATATATATATATATTTCTTAAATTTGCATGAAAGTCTAAATTACTGTACTCGTTCTAGGTGAGATATTAATGGAACAAGAAATGGGAATAGTAAGGGTAGAAAGGTATTTTCGTTATAAAAAACAATTGGAATATACGAATTTTGTTGGATCATTTTTTTTCGGGGGTACGGTTTGTATAGAGCCTAAGCTCTAAACAATCAAATTAGAGCTTATTTTTAAATAGTATCATATATTTTTATATTTATTTATAAATTTTGAAGTTTAAAAAATAAGATAAATAGATGATATTTATAAAAACTTGAAATTTTTAAAAATTTACTGTCCAAAAATATATTATAAAATATATTATTTTTAAAACTTAAATTTAATTTAATTTTTTTTTAATTCATACGATATCGAAATCATTTTAAAGATAATTGAGCATCAAAATAACCTCTCAATCAAAGTTTTGAAGTAGGCTCGAATGTGATTGTTTAGAGCCTCGGCTCATTATAAACTTTTCCATTTTTTCTCTCTGAAACAAAGGAAACATTCCATAATTTGAAAGTTGCAAAGCCCCTGTCGTCACATCGTCATCATTACCGATAGGACTTTTCCATAAACAGGGGGCGCCATTAAAGATCTCCCTCATTATCTCTCTCTAGATTCTCTCTCCAGCTCTCTCTCATAAGTCATAACTATAGACTTTTCCGGACGCCATTAAAGATCTCTCTCATTCTCTTTCTAAAATCTCACTCAAAAAGTGGCTATTAAGCCGTAAAATCGCCGCTACCCGTCTCTCTCACTGTAAAAAATCGCGGAATGGTCTGAAAAGCTCGCCACTTCTCTGAAAAATTCTCTTATAAAAGGTGTGTTTGTTTTCCAAGACAGAACTCATTGTCAGTCGGTCGGTCTCTCTTTCTCTCTAAAATCTGCGACTATGCCATAAAAAATCGGCACTCCATCTTTCTCTCTATATTGAAAATCGCCAATCCACTGAAAAGATCGCCATTTCTCTGAAATACTCGCCCTTCTCTCATGAGAGGAGCGACTTCTCCAAGATAAAGCTTCCTCTCACTCCGTTACCCTCTCCAAATAGGTGATGATTTCCTAAATATCGCCTGTGTCCTCAAAATCGCTGAAATCGTCAGGAAAAATCGCTCCTTTAAAACCTCGCGTTCTCTTAAAGGGCGGTTTTTCCAAGGAAGATCTCGTCTCTGCTCGAGAAATGGAGGATTTCAGAGGCAGAGGCGAGGGTTTCGAGGCCGATTCCCCTAACGCGGGCGGTACGACTCGCATCGCGGCTCGTTCGTCTTTTGTCGACTCGTTTAAGGGGTGTGGTCTTTCTGGTTTAAGAATCGATAAGGAGGATTTGAGGAAGAGGGTTCTTATTCCCGAGTATTTGAGAAAAGCCATTGATGAAGCAGTCAGGGTCAAGGATATTAGTGGAATCGAGGAGAGGTTCAAATGGGATGGAGTTACAGTCGCTCCTGTTTCTCCAATGGTGGTTTTTGTTAACTCTCGCAGTGGAGGAAGGCATGGTCCTATCTTAAAGGGCAGGCTTCAGGAATTAATGAGCGAGGAACAGGTTGCTGTTTTTTTTTCCTTGTTGTGTTCGTTTCAATGGCGTTTTATGATTACGCGTTATTGCCCTTTTGTCTTCTTTTTTTTTAGGTGCTTTTTTTTTTTTTGTTTTTTTAAGTTCTTGATTGTGGAGCTTAATGGATAATGTGTTCACTGATTTGAAAGCACCATTTTGTGAGCATTTTTTTCGTTGTGTAAGCTTGAATTTATGTGCATATTTTTGTTGAGCATCTTTTGTTGTGCAAGTTTGATTTTTTTTTTAAATAATTCTGAAAGTTTGAAATTTCTGAATTTACCCAAAAAGTTTTTTTTTTTTTTTTGGCATTTTCACTGGTTTTTTTTTACCCTATATATGGTTCAATCAAGCTAATCTACAAAAACTGACATTTTTCTAGTGGAGTTGATATACTTTGTTTCCACTTAAAATTGTTTTGTACCGTTCCCATTGTTGTTGTTACCTCTGTATTTTCTGTTTCATCGTTTATTTGCATTTTGTTTCTCATTTTTGTGAGAAAATCTTGTTTTGTGGGGAATATGATGTTGCCATTTGTTTTATATGTGATTGAGGAACTTATGAATACATTTAGGTATCCAACTCTTAAAATATACATAGAAATTTCTGAAATCACTTTATCTGAACAGCCAAATTAGCACAATGCATTCGTTTATATAGTTTGTTTAAGAAGAAATTTAATAATTATTGACACTGGGAGCTTGTTTATATCCTTAGTCACTTAATAGTTCTAATTATACAGTGGATTTTGGGCTCAACATGCTTGTATGAGCAAATGCCAGCACATTAATATTGTTTTCCTTGTTATATTTGCTTCAGGTCTTTGATCTGGCAGTCGTGAAGCCTTTGGACTTTGTCAAATATGGGTTGCTTTGCTTGGAGAAATTGGCCAGTCATGGTGATTTTTGCGCAGAGGAGACACGTGAGAGGCTGAGGGTCATGGTGTGTTTTCAATACTCCATGAGTTACGGCTTATAACATATGTGGTTGCACAATGGATGCATGTATATTTGTTTATGCATTTTGTGCCTGCATATGCTATCACTTTCACATGATTGCCATCATAGTTGAGGTGTGTGAGTCTCTGGTTATGTGCTGGTTCAAGTAATAGTTCATCATTTGTCGGTCAAATTTTTGCTTGACAGGTTGCAGGGGGTGATGGTACAGTGGGTTGGGTATTGGGGAGTGTAGCAGAGCTTTATTTAGAGAATAGAAAGCCAATTCCACCAGTTGGGATTATTCCTCTTGGTACTGGGAATGATCTGTCAAGAAGTTTTGGTTGGGTAAGTCTTTCTTATTGTCATGTTTCAATTTAGGGGATGTATACCATACCTCTCGAATGTGTTATACCTTCCCTTTGATTTATGAGTTTGCATCAGTGTTTAAAAACATGGACATGGGCACTGAGCCTGGTGGGGGTCAAGACTCGGGCAGAATTTCTGTTCTATTGAATGAAAGACCTGGACAGACTTGGGCAGTCTTAGGTGAGACTCGTGTTACGTGGGTCACGATCATCCGAAATTGGTAGGGTGAGGGATTTGTTGATTCAGCGAGTCTAAATTGGTTGGGAGTGTCCGAATCAGACTCGCAGAGTTCTTATACATTAGTTCGGCATATATATTCACCTGCATATGCAAAGATGTGTATAGTTTGAATTTTGAACATTTCACAGGGTGGATCATTTCCTTTTGCTTGGCGGTCAGCTGTCAAGAGATCTTTGTACAAGGCTGCGACTGGTCCAATTTGCCGGCTTGATAGGTCAGCTTTATCTCCATTTACTAGGGGATGCTCGTGCCATTCCTTGCAAATAGACGTTCATGCCTGTGAAATTGAAGTTGTGGTGAATTTCAATATTGATTTATCATTATCTTTTTAATAGAATGATTTACTTTTGCTTTTCTTTTTCCCCTTCCCCTGTTGCTTCTGTGCGATTGTTTTTCCTCTCTCCCCTGTTGCTTTCATATATAAGAGTCTGATGGCTGTCACTGATTCACTAAAACGTCAATTTTGGGACTTTGCAAATTTAACTACGGCATCTTAAAGAAAATAAAATGAAAAAAAGAGATGATGGAAAAGTAGTTTTGGCACAAATAATTGAACTCATTATGTTCGTTACTGAAGATATATTCATTTTTCTCCCATCCGCCTTGGCAATCCTGCTTTTTTTTCTTGAGTTACAAAACTCCATCAGCGTAATGTTTTTTTCTCTCTCGGGGTAGCTTAGGGGTGGGATTAAAACCTTGGATATGGTAATTTTTACTTGCTGTGATTTACAAGCCAAGGTATTGGTAAGGAGCTTGCCAAATATCATAGCAATTTTGGTCATTAGTTATCTTTGTTTAATATGGTTATAGATATTTAATAAACACTATGAATGGGGCTTGGGATCGAAAGGTTAATTGTTGATTATTGCGACACTATGTCCCAATTGATTCCTACAGCTGAACTTCGCCAAGACAAATAATATTTAATTAGCACAGTAAAACGAGTTCATGTTTTCACCTTTTCTCTTGTAATATATGAATAATACAGATAACTCTCTTATAAATTCATTGTAATATATGGATAATAGAGATAACTGTCTTTGAAATTCATTGTCTTTTGGTGCAGTTGGCAAGTCACCGTTTCAATGCCACATGGAGAAAATGTTGAACTTCCACATTCTTTGAAATATAGAGACGAGGGCACTTTCAATCAGGTGGTTGAATCTTTAATTGTTGTTGCATATGGATCTTCTCACTGTACTTGTCTACAAAGAATACTTCGAGATGAATGAAATGAAATGGTCTAAACTGCACTTGTTTAGATTATCGACACATCAAACACATTTAAGTTTTCTTTTCCAACTTAACTTAATTTCATTTGGTTACTCAGAAGCCTCAAGCTACATTGCGCATCAGATGATATTGAACATCTTGAGACTGGGAGAGCATGTTTACATGTGTATAGGGGCACACAGGTTTATAGAGACACACAAATGTGATTTCTCGATTTGAGTGTTTGTTAACGTGCATGTGCTCTGCAAATCTGTATTTCTTGTATAAAAGTGAGATTTTCTTGCTGTAAAACTTTCTTGAGATACTTTGGCTCTTGAATTTTGGTTCTTGCACATCTTTGAGCTGGGTTGGGGATATTGTTGGATTCCTTTGGACACACTCAACCATCTTGGTTTCATGCAATATAAGAAAAATAAGAAGCTTGGTAAGGACACATGAAAAGCTCAATTATCTTCTTGGTCGTAATTGCTGGAACCTTGCACTTGACCAGCACTCTTTCTCCTAAAACTAACTCTTTGTTGGTGTTCTATACTTTGTAGTCTATTCCTAACAGAAAAGTGCCATGTCGTTCATGCTCTAAGTGAAATTGATTTCCCCAGTCTATGAAAATTTGCTAAAGTTACCACTTGTTTGGATGGATATCTATGTCGATGACATTTGTTATGCACACGTTAACTCATGTAAAGAGCGACATCTAAATGAGAATGTGTATCCAACTTTTCTGCGTGTGGTCTTTAGTCTTGAATTATCTACTTTATTTTATTTGTCTTTATTTTGTCTCATGAAATGAAAATGGTGATCAAAATTTGTGAAACTCCACTATTGGTTATGTTCTGATACAAGTGCATATTATTAGTTTCTCAATTTATATCAGTGATGAAACTATTTAACACTAGCTAATTTTGGAATGTAGTGCAGGATGGGGATGTTGAGGGGGATTTGCCGGAAAATTTTTCATGCTTTGAAGGTGTATTATATAATTACTATAGTATAGGTATGATTTACAAACTTAGTGTTCTTAATTGTTATGATTCTTTTCGAGGTTATCATTTGCAAGATCTATCTTTTATCATCTTAAGTATGCATAGAATATGGTTGCGCTTTTTACTTTTATTTGTAGGAAGATTAGATGAATTGCAACAAATAAAATTGTTATTTGTTGTTTGGGGTTCACACAACCTGGAAACATGGATGCATTTATGGAATTGTTTCCTAATTATTGGTTGCCTATTTAGCAAGCCCTTGTCTTCTATGGAGAGAAGCTAAATGGAGGACTGCATGTTCTAGGCAGCTTGATTCATGATCATCATGGTTTTCATTGTAGCACAATCCCTTGTTTACTCTTTGAATGTTATTTGTTGGGTAGCCTTTCAAGGGAGTCCAATCCCCTGGAGATGTATGTGCTTGAAGTTATAGAGTTGATAAGTACTATAGAAATTTCCTATTGGCATGTTCATGAAGAAGCTCATATAAGCGATACTCCATAGAGGGTTTAATTTCTATTGATTGGGAATTCATTCCGTAATTGTAATTTTCTAATTAGGCTTATTTTCAACAAAAATTACTTGAGAAGTAAAAGACAGTTTACAGGGTATTGGGTTCATGCCTTGTTTTTTAGCATTAATGGGATCATTATGTACATCAATGTCTTTTGAAATATCTTGGATGATATTATCAAAATGTTCACCATCTTAATTTTGCTTACAATATCATTTGTTATTCTCAATGCTTCTTTTTCATTTCACTTGTGTTTTTTTTGGTTCAGGCAGTTTAAAAGTGTAATGTATTTGTTACTTGTGCTCCTTGCCAGTTTGAAAGAATTTTGACTTGTTCTGTTTCTTATTAAGATCTGTTATTAATTTTTTCATCAGCAGAGAAAATTGGTTCATGATGCACAATGAATACCCTGCTTGAACCTTCACTAAATATTTACTCACTGTTATTAAGTCGTTGATTATTTTTTCAACTATTTCTAGATAAATGGTTTTTTCTTCTCTATTCTTCAAGCACTTAATCTTCTCCATTGACTTAGCATTCCAATTTTATTATGCTTTTCCATTGTTCGAGTTTATGTGAAACTATCGTCTGGATTTTTATTTGTGTTCATTTTCTTGATATTTATTTTAAAAACTATTGATGTCCTTTGGCCCTTTCCGCAAAATTTTTATTATATTCTCATGAAATGTAGGCATGGATGCCCAAGTTGCGTATGGTTTTCACCATTTGCGGAATGAAAAGCCATATCTTGCACAAGGTCCAGTTGCAAACAAGGTACATTTGGATCATCCTTTTTGTCCATTATTGCTCATTTTACTTGGGGATGATTGACTATTTACCTTTGGTACAGAAAGGTAAAATATCTTAAGCTGTCAGGTGCAAAATTGGATGTTCATTCTTCCAAACAAAGTCCATGGAAGAGTTTTCTTGAACTTTTTGAGTGCTGTCAATGATAGGACCCCGCCGTCCAATTTCACATCTGACGGCTTGGGTTGCTGTTTACCTTTTCATATCATAGGTAAAACGGTCTCATAATCTCATTGGATACTTTCTCTACTTATATTGACTAAAAATGAAGATTATATTCCTAATTTTTTATTGGAATGCTTCTAAATTTGATAAACTAATTAAATATATTTGTCATGATATATTAAATGATAATTCTCATGTGTATGAATGATAGTATTGGCCTTCAGGCTCAGTACTATTTCCTAAATGTTTGGTTTTCTAAATGGATATAGATTATGCTTTATGTTGCATGTCTTTAGTTATATTTGTAGCGCGACTGTGTGGTTCGACTTTGCGAGCTAGTGCTAGATATCTTTGTCCAATCTACCTTTTTGTTGGGGAAAAGATAAAAGATAACCAAGACCAGATAGTGGGTGAAAGATGCATTTCAGACATTTGTATTGGGGTGAAGAGAGTGGCCATGTTTAGGTTTCTTGTGTGGGACTTTTGCTTGTCTTCAGTCCTCAAGCTGAGTTTGTAAGGGCTTCGTACTGTCATATAGTTTGGATTCAAAATAATTGTGGTAGCATTATTAGCTTTGAGTATTTCTTGGTGAGGAAGATCTATTTCTTGCATCTGTGTGCATTTTGCAGTACTTCGTATCATTTTTGTGCATTTTTTTACCGAATATGGCTTTGTACATCACCATTTTAGGAACTGTGCTATTTTTCGTTTATTTTGATGTGTCCCTTTCATATGCATCTTTCTGTGCATTACTGATTAAGCTTTTGGGAATTGTTTTGAATGCTTGTTTTCTGCATGAATAGTAGGCTCTGAGTAAATGATCTTGGATGTTTGGTTTCTGTCAACATGAGGATGCTGATTTTGTGATTTCATGGCCTAATTCGTTATTCTAATATATTAAATTTATTTAGTTGAAACTTATAAAATGTCCCAATATCCTTATTTTTTTTCAATCAACTTTTTAGACATATATGACATATTGCAGCATTGAATTGAGTGTTTTGTTTTACAGTTGATCTATTCTGGATATAGCTGTAGCCAAGGTTGGTTTTGTACGCCTTGCTTGAGTGATCCAGGTTTAAGGTTAGCCATCTTATTCATTATGCCTATCTTGTCTCTTTTTCAGTCATGAAGCCATGTACTGCAGGTACTTGATATATGCCTTTGATGGATTTCTTGATGAGTTTAAAGATCATTCTTGTTTTTTTTTTTTTTGAGAGTGGATCATTCTTGTTTTCTTTTTGAAAATCTGATGTTTGAAGAACAAGGCTTTTCCTGAAAATAAAACTTAAATTTAGTTTAGGAATGATTGCTTAGAAGAACTTGTCTTGGTTATGCATTGGATTTCTATGGACACTAATGTCGACTTGTGCATGTGATAATGTGCCTAATCTCTTGCAAAGTTTAGGGCTGTGAATGACTGTAGATCAATCATTGTTGCTGGCACCTAATGTTACCTGGACATGTTGGTGTCTGATACGGTAACCACAAAAAGCTCCAAAGCTTTAGAACCTGTTCTTCAAGCTATGACTCGAACCACTGCCTCTACCTGACCTTTAGTCACAGAACCAACTGATTAGAGGGAAGACCTACTAAAAGATCCCAAAAGGAAATAGAGCTACTCCTGCCGTATGTGACTGACATACCAAACAGAGGGAAGATTTGAATTCTAAGGGCTTTTGGACTGATAGTTGTTGAATTCAACCATGATTGAATTTTTTGTTTTTTGCTTTTTTTGTAACCCATGATAGAGTTTTTTGTAATCCATGATTGAATTTTTTGTAATCCATGATCAAATTGTTTATTTCTTGTTTTGTAATCCACGATTGAATTTTTTGTTTTTTTTTGTTTGTTTTTTTTGTAATCCATGATCGAATTTTATGTAATCCATGATCGAATTTTATGTAATCCATGATCGAATTTTTTGTAATCCATGATTGAATTTTTTGAAAATTTGTGATTTTTTTTTTTTAATCCATGATCGAATTTTTTTTTGTAACCCATGATAGAATTTTTGGAAAATGTGATTTTTTTTTTAATCCATGATCGACATAGTATGTGCGGAAAAAGCCTTTTCTAGTACTAGAACAAGAACATACTTGTACCACAGATTGAAACAAACCAGAGCTCTATGTACTTCTTGAGGAGCATCGATACAACAATTCCGCTCGTAAATGTTTTGTCAAGTAGATCATTTTCAGTAAGTACGAATAATTCAGACACGGTTGTTATGTCCTTCTGTTCAAGTTTTTAAAAGAAATATATAAAAAAACAAGTATTAAACAACTCAAGTATATTTAAGTTGCAAAAAATTATCAAGTTCTCTTTCTTAAGGTCTTGGCGTCATTTAATTATAGCTCATGTCATAACTTCATAATCAAGTTCTCTTTGAGTAAAAGTTTAAATTTTTGACAATTTAAGTTTGTTTTGGATAAACTGAGCTAGCCTAGATTTGCACAATTAATGCATGCTTCCGACATGCTCCTTTATCAATGTGAGGATGTGATCGATTGGCCATTGACTTGCATATTACTGCTTTAATAGCACCTGTTGTTATAAAAGTGTTACAGGTTGGTTGAGTTTTCTTGTTTAGGAGGTGGTCAATTGCTTTGTATCTGTTAAATGGAGTGGGACAATTGAGTAGTGCTTCATCCGTTCTTGTCTTCCTTTATAGCTTTAAATTGTTCTTGTGCCGATTTTTCATTTCATTGTGCCTCTTCTATAATTCGTCATCATCAGCATCTTCCGAGCTTTATCTCAGCTATTTGGGGTCGGCTACGAATCCTGTTCCGCTTGTAACTATATTTATATACCACTTCTGGGCAATCTGTCAATTAAAAGGTGCTTCGCATAGCATGAAATCTGCTACTGCACCACTTTATCACTAGTTGATACTGTTTTTGGTCTTTGAATGTTGCTGTAAGTGTAATTCTTTTTGTAGATATATGACACTGACAATATTGTAATAATCTTAGGGGCCTCAATAATATTGTGCGGCTCCACATAAAGAAAGCCAGTTGTGCCGACTGGGAACAGATCAGAGTTCCTTCAAGGCAAGTGCCTGTCAACTGTACACTTAAATGAATTAATTTTCTTTTGCTTGCTTTGTGTCATAAATATTTGTGGATCTTATTGTCATTTACTGAGATATCTTTTAGAGAAGAGTTCAGGATTATTTGCATACTCCATTTTTCTTGTTTAAAGTCATTATTACTTAGCGAATTTATTTATTTGTACTATCCATTTGAATGGAATAGATTTTAAGAAGCTTAAGCTGTCTAATATGTTATTGGTTTCTGAAATTGTTCTATGTTACTTTTTTGGTTTACTGAAATTGTTATATGTTGCTTTTATGTGGTACTAATATGTAAGTCTATTACTCTATTATACTTTACTTCAATAGGTATTAACATGCAAATCTACATGAAAATGTGTTTCATCCCATGGGTGTCTACTTGTGTTTGTATTTTCTTTTTTTGATTATTCTACTTGTGTTAATGTTAGGTAATGAGAAACTGTTAAATTCCCTTACTAATTGTATTAGCATTAACTTTCTCAAAACGAATGCAGTTTAATTGAAGTTTCAAACATATTATTACATGCTTGATGCAATTTTTTGTTGTACAGTGTAAGGGCAATAATTGCATTAAATCTCCATAATTATGGAAGTGGAAGGAATCCATGGGGCCACCTTAAGCCTGAGTATTTAGAGAAGGTAAAGTTTCTCAATTGTTGTTTTATGACTTATCTTGTTTGAAAAGTGCCATGCAATAGATGCAGAGATTAGTGGTAGAGCCTTCTTTTGACATCTTGTAAATCCTTGACTTGAAACTGAGAAATAATGCTGGAAAATATTGAATGGTAATTGAGTAAGAATGCTGATAGCGCATTTTGGCAATTTGTCGTCTGATAATGTGATGCTATATATGGTTCATATATGACTAGTATTTCCTTTGTATCCATGCAATTGTTGGTTTAAGTGGTTGGCACTTTTAGTGGAAATCAGTGTAAGAGAACTTGCTTCGAGTCACAGAAACTCACCCTAGTCTACTATTCAGGTGTTGTGTTATGTGTTTTATAAACGAAAAACTGAGGATGGGCTTGCACTTTTCTTTATTTATGTTAATTTGACATATAAATGGTCTCCACCAGGATGGTAATGTTGTGGTCTGTCTCAGGTGAAGAAATGGCTTTCATTCCCCCTGCTGACACTTGGTTTTTAATGATTCCCAAAAGAATTTGAAAATTTTGCCGAGCTTGTCTAAGTTAAATAGTTGAATCTGAGGGTGGACTCAATTTTGGCAGTGGCCAAGTTAATCATCGAGTTTGAGTTTTAAGAAACTGGTGTAGATGAAAGTGATCCCAGTTTCTGCTACGTTAATGGGGATCAGTGAAGACCCTAGGTCATCGTCATATACTAATGAACTTAGAAAAATTTAAGTTTTGATGTCTAAATGGTGTTTCAAAACATCTGTCGTGAATCTGGTCTCTTTAACTTTTCTGGGACCGAATTCATGGGGTGGCTTTGAAGTTTTGGTTTTTCTTGTGAAGTTCTTGGAATATCTTAGGAAGAGTATAAAGGAAAAATATTATAGACAACCAAATTATAATAAATAGGAAAAATTCTTAAGGAAAAGGAATAATAATAATAATAATAATTATTATTATTATTTTTCCTTATTGTAAGTGTAAACTTATATTACTTTTAGATTTTCACTTATGTACTTGACAAATTTGTGGCACATTTATCTTGTGCATCTGTGTTTATGTTTGCTCGAGTTTTTTTTTTTCAAAGCTGGAAAAATAGAAAGGAAAATGAGCAGTATCTTCAAAGAAAAATGCAAGAATATAGACAAACAACATTACTGCGTGATTGCTGATAATCAATTTTTTAAAACATTTAGTAATTTGTGTCACTTCTCAGATTAAATTTATTTACGTTGAGCTTATGTGTGGAACTAAATATTCTTGACATGAAGTAGAATTGGATTCTGCAAATGTACTAAACTTCAGAAGATTATCTTGTAGCTGACTTACTACTGGAGGTTGTGCCTGCCACCTTCCTCTATTCAAGTCATGTCGACCCTTTGACAATCTAATTTTCATGTCCTCAGTGTTTTTCTTTGTCAGATGCTTTGGTGTCACTCTACATTTTCACCTAATACGGCACTTAAAATAACTTGGTTATAATCTTTCATAAGATGTGCACAATACGTTTGGCTTTTCATTTCATGCGTGTGATAGAAGCAAGGATAAGGGGACAACGTCCGTTATTTGTTAGGAATTGGGCTTTAATCATTTTATCAGGGAATAAACTAAACTTTTCTTATGCAGTTTATGTTATAGACTTAAAAGCTTCTACTGTGGTTGATTTCTAACAGAGAGGGTTCGTTGAGGCTCACTCTGATGATGGGCTGCTTGAAATTTTCGGCTTGAAGCAAGGTTGGCATGCTTCGTTTGTCATGGTCGAACTCATCTCTGCCAAACACCTGGCTCAGGTATGCTTTCTGCTGAAACTAACCGAAGTATGTAGAAATTCTATTGTCTATTATTCTTCTTTGGATCCCTCCCAAATGTTTGTGTGTGAGAGAGACAGAGAGCTGTTAATTATGTGCTTTTGTTCAAATGGGGCTTGTTTAGAGGAATTATGGTGCATCTTTCAGGCTTCGTCCATCCGAATAGAACTGAGAGGAGGCCAGTGGAAGCGGGCTTATATGCAGATAGATGGGGAGCCATGGAAGCAGCCAATAAACAACGATTATTCGACGTTTGTCGAAATAAAGAAGACACCCTTTCCGTCGCTCATGATAAATGGGGAGTGACTGCTGTATTTGTACTGTGGATTTGCCTGGTGTTTTGTGATCCTTCCAGCTTCGCTCTTTCTTCTCAATCGCTTGGAACATTTGTATAAAAATCAGCTTTCATTGAGGCCTTGTAATTTAATATTATTTTAGTATCTTTTCTTGTCAAATACATTTGATTAGCGTTTATCATTTTAGCATCCTTTTTTGTCATAGACATTCCATTTGCTTCTCTCTCTCTCTCTCTCTCTCTCTCTCTCTCTCTCTTATTTATATGTATTATATATGGACAGGGTTTTTATGGTCCACTGCCTGGTCTACTTGACTCATATATTTAAGTGAGTCCGCTCTCCAAAATCTGTCTTTAAAAAAATAAATTTGAAAACATTTATTACCCTAAAGATTGTAGTATAATTTTTTTTTTAAGTGAGATTTGTTAATACTTTGACACCCTAATTACCCAAAAAAAATTTAACATCCTTACTTTCAAGTTTTGGTGGGGCCATTGTTCTTGAACATCCATCTCGAAATGGATGTGGATGTGTTAAAGTTCATATGAGGTTGAGGCCCTAAACAATCAAAACTAAGAAGCGCTTTAAAATTCACTAGATTTTCAAGTATCTATAGATCTATTCGATCTATGCAATTTTTGAAGCTTTAAATTTTTTAATTAAAGATGAATAGATTTTTGTTATTAAAGTGATATCTATCGATACGATTTTCAAGTATTTATAGATTTATTTGATCTACATAATTTTTGAAGCTTTAAATTTTTTAATTAGAGATGAAAAGATTTTTGGTACTAAAGCGATATCTTTTTATACTAGTTAAAAGCGTGCTTTACTTTGATTGTTTAGGGCTTCAGCCCTATACAAACCACCCCGGTAGAAGTGAGTCCCTTAGTGCATGAATTACTTTTCCTCTATGTGTGTGCGCATGTGTTCATGTTTGTGTACCTGTGTCTGAGGATCCAAGAGCATTAAATCTCGTTTGGTTTATGTAGGTGTTGGTCTTATGTAGGTGCGGTTTGTATAGAGTTGAGGCTCTAAACAATCAAAGTAGAGCCTACTTTCAAATAGTATAGGGAAATGTAGTTTCAATACTAAATTTTTTTGTGATAGTCTTAAATATATTTTCATATTTAATTATAAAATTTATAGCTTAAAAAATAGTGTAGATCGAGTAGATCTATGAGAACTTGAAAATCTTGAAAATTGATGGTCAACAAATATGTTACAAGATGCACTATTTCTAATACTTGAAATACATTTTTATTCTTATGTCTATGTATCTTGATGGTCAGATGATCAATTTGAAGATATTTGGGCATCAAAACAACATCTTCTAATAAATTTTTTTTGAGGTAGGATATAATTTGATTGTTTAGAGCCTCGGCTCTATATAAATTTTTTTTTTAAAGTAAATTTGCACCACAAAAATTTACTAATCTTCTACTGAATCCCTTTGACCTTGAGATGTATGGTTGAACAAAAAAAAAAAAAAGAATTTCAAGTTCTAAAACTAGTGCATGTTGTAGAAATAGATTTTCAAGCAATTGTCCAGGTTTTTGACACTGGAATATATTTTCCGGTAGGATTTGGAGTGCGCTTTATTTTGATGTAAGAGTTGACACCATTATAGAGCAGAGTCCTAAAACCCTAGATGCCTTCCGTAAACATCAAAAACTAAAATTTGGATTTCAAATCTCATAGAAAATAGCTTCATTCAGCTTAAAAAACTATTAGGGGGAATGGATATCGTGGTCATGCAAGACCCACATAAATGATTCGCAACCGCTAACACTGATTATTTCTTTTAATTTTTTAATTTAAATGATCTTCTTTTTACCTGTCCCCCCCCAAAAAAAAGCTGTTAAAACCCTAATCCTGATCATTTTCAAATGGACCATCCACAATCAATCTTCAATGGGTAGTCTACCTGCAAGAGATGAGCAACTTAATATTTTGCTTCTACTTTTTGATTTAATTTCAACATATCAAAATATACATAAAAAACATATGGTATTGTGTTGAAATAGTTGAAAATGAGCAAAATATTAAAGGGTGTGGTTTCTATAAGGTTGCAACCTTAAATAATCCAATTAAAATGTACTTCCAAATTTTATCATAACATGTAATTTTGGTATTAAAAATTCTTAGGATTATCTCAAAGCAAATTTTCATATCTAATTATAAAATTTTAAACTCCAAAAATAGTTAAACTCAAGTACATCTATAAAAGTATGAAAATCTTGAAAATGGACGGCCTAGATAATGAGTTGCAAGATGCGCTATTTTTGGGACTCCAAATCTTTTTGGTTTTTTCATAGTCGTACTTCTTGATGTGGAGATGATCAATTAGAGAGATTTCAACATGAAAACAACTTTTTTTGATGGATTTTTTAGGTGCATCTTTAATTCTACATTTTAATTAAATGATTTATCTTTTGTGTGTATATTAATTATTTCCCTTTTTTTTAATATTTCTTAAATGGTCTTAGAGACCAGCAAAAATGATTAATAAATTTTCAAATAATAAAATTATTCCACTGTGGTTTGAATAGGAAACATTTGTTCACAGTGCTCTCTCCAGACCACGAATTGACGGTGCATAGCTCGTGTTAGAGAAATCAAGGGCCCCAAGTAAATGCAATGGGTAAATTTGTTCCTTCTTTTCCAAAGTACTGAGAAGCCCATTGTAGACCTGATGGACTAATGGATATCACACGCGATTAATTAATGCTCTCTTAAACGTATCTAAAGTACTCTACGTTATCTATTTTATTTAGACGGTGTAGATTTGATATTGTATTTAATATATCATTTTTTGATATTATTTTAAAATATCTGCTAAATCTACACTATTTAACAATATCAATAGTGTAGAATGCCGCAATCTTACTTCATTTTATAAAACTACAAATAAAACTATAGCCTTATATAAATCACACCCTTTATCTTTTGCCAATTAGGAGGAAGAGCGGAGAATTTTTGAAGGCTAGGGAATAGAGTTCTTTAAAGGGGAGGACTCATTCAGAATTCTCTTTCTATTTTTTTTTCTTTTTAATTTCGTCTTAAGTATCTTCCTGATTTCTTTCTTATAACTCCCTTGTGTGATATTTACTCCCTAACCAATCGGTTTACCTATAAATAGCATTGAAAGAAAAATTTCAATAACAGAAATCTTTGTGATGGCCAGAAAATTTATTTTCATATTTAATTATAAAATTTAAAGCTTAAAAACTGGTGTAGATCGAATAAATCTATAAATACTTGAAAATAGTGAAAATTGATAGTCTAGATAATGCATTATAAAATGCACTATTTCCCAGACTTGAAATCCATTTTTTTTTTCACGTCTATACATCTCAAGGTTGAGATGATCAATTTGAGGGCTTTTCGACATCCAAGCAATCTCTTCTGGTGAATTTTTGAGGTGCACCTTAATATTATTGCTTAGGGCCTCAACTTTATATATACTTTTTTCTATAAGGATAATTCTTTTGGACCCAAAATTTGGAGGTGTAAAGTCTAGGACCTAGTAGCCAACTTCAAATAACAAAAAATTAAATGGAACCCCTCTAACATTATCATCAAAATCACTAGAGCCTTTTTCAAACTATTTGGGGTCGATTATATGAAAATAGAACCCTCTATATGTTTTTGAAAAATTGATTTCCCAAGATTGAACAAGAACCATACAATTTTTGAACAGCAACATCTAAGTGTCAAAGAACTCAAAATTCAAATCTTTTTATGAGAAAACAATCATCTGATGATACTGAGATAATTCTAGATAGGAAAAATTTCTCCAAGTAGGCCCTCTACCTGAGGCAGTAGATGTACAATATTGTTCCCGCAGGAGCATAATATATCCGTTCATCTCTGGCAGTGTTCTTTTTGTTACTTTTTGAACGATGCATTGAGATGCATTTTTGTTCATCACTCCCATCTTTGCCCATGCATCAAACATGCTATGTTCCCCCACTTCTTGTACTTCATTTATGTATTGAAGCCTGAAACCGTGTCCTGGATTGCCCATCACTGAATCGATCTAAATTGGAGAATCCGGTCCAGATCGGCTAATTATCCATTGTAAAAATAATAAAAAAATATTTGAAAGAAAAAGGTTCAATTAGCGGAAATTGCAAGGTTTTCCGAAATGGATCTTTGATTTTACTCACGTGACCGCCAACGACCTTTCAACTCCCACCGAACTGGACGGATTCATTCAGTAAAGAGATCAGGTCGGACTCCAACCGAACTAGATCAGGATCGACATTTTTCTAAAACACTTTTGTAACTTATAAACAATGGATTTTATACTACGAGACTGTTTATTATTGCTACAAGGAGGTCACGATCTTCCTAGCCATTCGGTGTTGAATTTGATGGCTTGGGGTGTATCACGAGGTTTGAATAATTTTTTTTTTTTGAACTTTGATTCTAGTCAATGATGAACTTATAACCATCCGATTTAAAAGTTAACGGACAAGAAATGATGACCATTTCCTTGTAGTAAAAGTCCCTTTGTATATGTTTCCTAGAAATAAACAGCGTACACTTATTAACACCTATGTGTACTTAAGTTTTGCCTTGTCATTGATACGCATGACAAAACAGTTAACCGGCTTTTTTTTCATGACATTAAAACTAGGCATTACTCAGTAATGTTTTATAATTCTCCCTCAAAACACGGTGGAGTTTATGATAGATAAAAGGAAAATTTATCAAAATACATCGTACTTTCCAATTATTTAACATTTGGCCTTTTTTCTACCTAAAATATATAGGTTAGCATGTGGCCAAACCCGCACATGTAGAAATACGGGCTTGGGAATAAATATTTTTTTAAATATAATTTGATCCTAATTTTAGAGAATATATAATCTTTAACATGGAGATCATAAATATGATTTTTTTTTTGAAAACTAGAAATAATAATTATATTAAAAAAACATTCGGACCGTTAGTTAAAATTGTTTTTAGATGGACCACCTATTTGCATACATCTTTAAGATGGATGTTTTATACCTTTAGACCGTATATTGTAGAAATGTGGTCCAGCCTGTATGAAACAATTGTTCAAATATATATATTTTAATGGGCATTTTAAAATTAAATCAAAATATATAAGTAAAATATTAAATGGTTAATTTGTTAAATGCATTTTGACAAATTTTCCTAGATAAAAGCTTAAACATGGGTGCAAAT